TGATTCTTTTTCAAATCTGTGTAATAATTCTCCAACCAAACTTAACTACATTTAATCACGCGAATAAACTTCTTTAACTACTTAATTACGCTACAATTATCCTGATTTCAATAAACATATACCCTAATATATTTGGATAATTTAAGATTGTTATGTTTAGCTAGTGTTAACCATAGAGACTCACTAAAACTGAGTGTTTGTGATAGTGATTCTGGCTAATATCGAAACTAAGTAGAAGTATCTACCACACGAATAACAGAATGCTTCCTCGAGTTAGCACTATTTATTTTCCCAACGGTTCTAAGGAGTAATATCAACATACAGTAATTTATTGGTAAATTAATGTTTCACTGTAACGTATTTATATTTATGCAGAGACTTAAAATATTTTTCTGAAAATGTGAATATCTAATCATTCGGTTGACTTATTCGATCCACATGCCAACCGACCGGGTCTACCTGGTAAAATATTGAAGTTCTATCTTAATTGACAGCCTCTCCAGGAGTGTTTATCCTTCATTTTGGAAAACAACATAAGCCCTACGGGTCTATTTCTGTATATAATTTTATGACAAATGAATTTCAAAAGCTTAACATAATTCATTCCTTTGAAACTTTTATGAAGAGACGAAGTTTAACTAACCTGGTCTGGTAATATTGATTTATTATTCAGAGTGGTGTGATTAGTATCATCCTTCCTTATTAGCTTTGTTTTCTATGATCCACCAATTTGAACTTTGTTTTTTAGTTACAAATGCCTTGGTAAATAAGTTCGTGGCCAGATTATTCGAAATACATTACGCTAATAGATTACATAGCTCTGATAAACTTTGTATTCGTCATTGCATCATATGAGTCTAATGAATTTAATTTTATGATGTATTCTTTTGTGAGACAAAAGATATTTGTTTTTTGGAGGTCAATATTAATTTCTTAATTTTTAACGGAAAATTCTCTACTTTCCGAAACAAAAGGTTGAAAATCAATGACGTGAATGCTTATTGGAAAGTCGGATAAATACGCTAATTTTCAAGCTGCCACAGCCAGTTAAGCTTAAGATCATAGACATAAGAAACGATTTTGTGAACAGTATGTTAAGGATTCAACACAAAATATACACTTGAAACTGTACGTTTGTCTTCTAATCCAAATATTATATTTGTGATCTGACTGACAGTTATCTCCAAAAGATGAACATGTGAATACTTACTTACTTACTCCTGTTACTCCCAATGGAGCATAGGACAACGACCAGCATTCTCCAACCCACTCTGTCCTGGGCCTTCCTTTCTAGTTCTATCCAATTTTTGTTCATTTTTCTCATGTCTGTCTCCATTTCTTACCGTAATGTGTTCTTTGGTTTTCCTCTTTTCCTTTGGCCTTCAGGATTCCATGTGAGAGCTTATCTTGTGACGCAGTTGGGTGCTTTTCTCAATGTGTGTCCTATCCACTTCCAGCGCTTCTTCCTGATTTCTTCCTCCCCTGGGATGTGGTTTGTTCTGTCCCATAATAGGTTGTTGCTGATAGTGTCTGGCCAACGGATCCGAAGTACTTTGTGTAGACAACTGTTAATAAACGCTTGTATTTTCTGGATGATGATTTTCGTAGTTCTCCAGGTTTCCGCCCTATACAGTAGAATTGTCTTGACATTTGCATTGAAAATTCTGACCTTGGTGTTGGTTGACAGTTGCTTTGAGTTCCAGATGTTCCTCAGTTGTAAATATGCTGCTCCTGCTTTGTCGATCCGCGCCTTCACATCTGCATCAGATCCACCGTGTTCATCAATGATGCTTCCCAAATATGTAAAGGTTCTTACAACTTCCAAATCTTCTCCGTCAAGTGTGATTCGATCGCTGCATGCTTTGTTGTATCGAAGAATCTTGCTTTTCCCTTTGTGCATGTTGAGACCTACTGGTGTTGAGGCTGCTGCTACACTGATCTTCTCCTGCATTTGCTGTTGCGTGTGCGATAGAAGAGCTACATCATCTGCAAAGTCTAGGTCGTCCAGCTGCATCCTAGCTGTCCACTGTATCAAGTGCTTCCTCTCAGGTGTTGACGTCTTCATGATCCAGTCGATCACCAAGAGAAAGAGTGAGGGTAAGAAACCTTGCCTAACACCGGTCTTTACTTCGAACGACTTTGTCAGTTGTCCTCCATGCACGATTTTGCAGTTTAATCCATCATAGGAATTCTGTATAATATTGACTATCTTCTAAGGCATGCCGTAGTATCGAAGAAGCTTCCATAGTGTTTTCCTGTCCACGCTATCAAATGCTTTCTCGTAGTCAATGAAGTTGGTATAGAGTGATGAATTCCATTCAATTGATTGTTCCCCAATGATCCGTAGTGTTGCGATTTGGTCTGTACACAATCGATCCTTACGGAATTCAGCCTGTTGATCTCGAAGTTGGGCGTCTACGGTGTCCTTCATTCTGTTTGACAATATCCTGTTGAAGACTTTCCCCGGTATTGAGAAAAGAGTGATGCCTCTGTAGTTGCCAAACTTGATGAGATCACTTTTCTTTGATATCCTGATCAGGTGTCCTTCCTTTCAATCTGTTGGTACTTGTTCTTCATCCCAAATCTTGCTGAAGAGGATATGGAGTGCCCTTGCAGTTACTGCTACATCTGCTTTCAGTGCCTCTTCTGGAATGTTGTCTGGTCCTGTTGCTTTGCCACTCTTGATTTGTCTGATGGCCATGCTGATCTCTTTAGTTGTTGGTGGGTCAACAACGATTGGGAGGTCCGTGGGTGCTAATTCGGTGTTGGGTGGGTTCAGTAGGGCTGGTCGATCCAAGAGTTCTTCGAAGTGTTCTACCCACCTGTTTCGCTGTTCTTCAATATTGGTGATTACCTTGCCTTCCACTGGTCGTTCTGGTTTACGGTGATTTCCAGAGAGTTTCTTTGTTGTGTCATACAGTCCTCTCATGTTTCATTCTCTTGCAGCCTTTTCCGCCGTCATTGCTAAATCTTCCACATATTTACGTTTGTCTGTTCTAATGCTCCTCTTCACTTGTTTGTTTAGTTCTGTGAATTCGCCTTGTTCCTTGGCTTTTTCTGCTCTTGTTCGGCTAGTATTGATTGCTGCCTTCTTGTTACTCCTTTCTTGAATCTTATCCAGTGTATCAACAGTGATCCATTCCTTGTGATGATGCTTCTTGTGGCCCAGGACCTCACATGACATGTTGAAGTGATTGTCTCGTTGATGCTCTTCCAGTTGCTCTTCATAGTAGTTCCTTCTCCATTGAGTAGATCATGAAAGGCCTGGAACTTATTGCTGAGGACTATCTTGAATTTGTTGAGTTTGTCAGTGTCCTGAAGAAAGGCCGTATTGAACATTTGTGATATTGTCCGCCCCATTGTCCAGTGCTTCTTGAGTTTCAATTTCATCTTGGCGACCAGCAAGTGATGACCTGAGGCTATATCAGCTCCTCTCTTGGTTCTCACGTCCTCTATCGTCCTCCTGAACTTGTTGTTGATGCAAATATGGTCGATTTGGCTTTGTGTAGTGTGATCCGGTGAAGTCCATGTGGTTTTGTGAATGCATTTATATGGGAATATAGTGCCGCCTATGACCAGTTTATTGAAGGCACATAGGTTTGCAAATCTCTCACCATTTTCGTTCCTTTCTCCTAGTCCGTGTCGTCCCATGATGTCTTCATATCCAGTGTTGTCCGTTCCAACCTTGGCATTGAGATCTCCCATCAGAATGGTCAGGTCCTTTGTTGGACACTTCTCGACGATTGACTGCAGCCTATCATAGAATTGATCTTTAGCGTCTTCATTGTAGTCGTTGGTAGGCGCATAGCATTGGATGATGTTCGTTGAAATGCCATCTTTCTTTGTTTTGAAGGAGGCTTTGATGATCCTTGGTCCATGAGATTCCCATCCTATAAGTGCATTTTGTGCTCGTTTGGACAGCATCAATGCAACTCCTTGTGTATGTGGAGCATTTTTTTCTTCATGGCCGGAGTATAACAGAAGCTTCCCTGAAGTTGTTGTCCAGCTTGCATCCAATGTGTTTCACTGATCCCGAGCACCTCTAGGTTGTATCTCTTCATTTCTGCAGCGATTTGGAAGGCTCTCCCGGTGTAACACATTGTACGAACATTCCATGTACCTAAATAAATGGTTGCTCTGGTTGTCAGAATGGGCATCGGCCTCGTGACTTCCGAAGGAATTCGGCTTTCATCATTAGGCGTCATAGTTCTTCTAAATGAAGACCTTCTGACTCCCAGGGCAGAGTTTAAAAGGTTTGAATAATTTTTTCTGGTTAGCGTTTTTTTAGCGAGTTAGTTTTCTACAAAATGGGGCCGCTAACCCCATTTCCAACCGTTCTCCTTTATCCGGGCTTGGAACCGAGAGTAGCCCCAGAGGGGCTCCAGGCGGATCATGTGAATACCATGTTTTAAAGTAAACTTCATACATGGAAATCGTGAATCCGATTGAAATTATTTCAATGCAATTCTAATTTGTGAGATAAATGCACAAATTCAAAAAGACAGGTTCGCATATCAGTGCACGAACAAGTACAGTCAAACAGGGACAAATAGACCATAGAGTCTATTTGAAAAATTAGGTAGGTTAATATCTTGTGGTGGTCGGTATTCAATATAATCATTAAACTTCGTATACAGTTAGTCTTGATAACCGTCACTAGATAACACCCCAACGGTATATTGATCAGAAGGCGAATACGAAGTGTTATGTTTAATATGGGACCACACGCAAATATCCAAAATTACAGGTGCGTTAAACAAGCATGAAAGAGTTGTGCCGAAAGGCAAGCGAGCGAGCGAGTGAGTCAGCGAATATGAGTACGAGTAAGCAAGTACACTTGAGCGAGCGAGCGAGAGAGAGCAATGAACAAGAATAACATGGACATATATATACATAGTGAAATGAATGAATCATCGAATCAATTAAGCGGTTGGTAGTAAGGCTAGCAGCGTGAATAAATGCGTAGGCAGTAAGCTATGCTCAAGCATACATGTTCATACATCCGCAACAATAATAAAGATACAATGATATAGATAAGTTGATGCTGTACCGATGACTCAGTTTGTTAATAAGTTAACAAAATGACTTAACCGAATTAAATGTGAACCGACTCAGTTGCGCGTGAGTTGCTATAATCTCATCTCTTCAGACACCTGGGGTGATTAGCCAAATTCCCGCCCTTTTCGAGGCAGTCATACTCACACCTGGCTTTATAGTAACTGTTTCTTTGATCAATCTAAACACCTATTACGTGAAGGCTAGCATAGAGACTTTTTTTCATTTTTCTTTGTTGTTGCGTATTACCATTATTAACAATCTTTGTGTAGACATTTCGATAACCTACATTTAAGTTATTTTTATGCCAATTTATATGAAAGAATATATCATATTTACACTAAAAATGCCTGAAGTTACCTAAAGCTGAGGATATGTTTATATTAGGTGAGCCTATTTAATGATCCTACTGGGATAGTAGACAAGTGGTTATCGAAGCCAAGCTTTTACAGATACATATACTGGAAATGGGTTTAACTCATAGTTGTTTAAAGAGTTCACACATTGACGATAGTGAATGTGACTGATTATGGGGGAAGAAGCAAAACGGAATAAATCCGGAGGCATTGCCGCCTCTTCGGAACACATGATCACCAGTATTCGAACTAGTCGTAATAAAGCAACAGTACAGTAAAAAGATAATGCTTGATAATGGAAGTTGCTATAATAAAATTTATGGAGCAAGTTTAAACCGGTGTTACAGTATAAAGATCCGATGGACAGAATCAATTCGAAAGAAAATAGACTATTTGAAGTTAAAGAAGTGATTTTCCCACTTTTTATGCCTGTCATTGATTTCTGATGGTTCGTAAAGTTCAGAGTTAAAACCTAGACTATGTTTTAACGCAATCTATTTATCGTAGCATACATCTAGATCCAAACAAATCATTGATACTGAAGATACCAAGCATGTGCACTAAGTCAAGTAGTGACGACAAGAAACAAGAATGAAAATATCACAACTAAGGGCTACGCTTCTTTCATGGAAAAGTGTATTTTGTACATTTCACAAAAAATCACACTGACGATCTCAATTCAAAATTGACAAGTCTTCGAAGTAGCTCGCGATTGGATGCAGTAACGCGATCAATTTCTTGTCTTAAAACTTTATGCTCTTCACTTCCCAAACTGTCAAGTTTTATTTGGCTCATACCTGAAACAGGGTAAAAATCATCCATAAAGATGCTTGCTTCTTCTGATGAAAAATTCGACTTCTGTAAAAGAAAACAATATAGAATGAAAAAAAGTGATGCATGTTTCCCACAAATGTATATATTTAAAAATGAAGTTTTCTAAACTACCCAATACAATATGAAGGGTTATCATAGTGTATAGATGATTACTTCACATATCTTACATAGAAATGAGACAATTATTCTTATTACCACTATTACTATTACACATGTGGTTATAAAAAAAAAGACTAATGAGGTGTGGCAACTCGGACCGATGCATATATGTGCCTGGTCCTATGTTGTAGCTGAGTGACTGATAACGATTATATATTTTTACAAGGTGAGTGTGAAGACGAAACGTCCTTTGTCGCCAACCAGTGAATAAATAAGGAGACGGCTGAACAACACGTTTCAAAGAAGAACTGTTTAGTAGTACGTACTATCTGAAAATCCACAAATTTATTAACATAATATGTATGTGAATGAAAAAAAAAGACCGAACCACTTAGATGAGCAAGTAAAAACATGTCATAAATCTTTAATTTTTAGGCTATGGGTTTTACCACAGCTTTAGCACATGAAGATTAGTAATCAGTCCTTTGTCAGTTGAACACAATAATGATATTATGTTTCACAGACTATAGTCCAATAAAATCAATACTAGAAAAACGAGACTTCAACTTTACGTGACTCCCGTTTGACGATTTATCAAATTAAAGACAAACTATGGTGAAAAGTATGAAATATTGTACTTTACAACCACTATCATTAGATGTAATAGTTCGAAAGTAATATGGTGATTAGAGATGTAGACTCGTTGTTTGCTTTAGAACCATTTTGATACTTTATTATATGAATTATTTGGTTAATAATTAATTTGTATTTCTGGGTACCGTAACAGTTCCACATACCTGCTCTACATTCGTAGTTAATGCGGCAGACATTCTGTCCGCTGAAATTTATTTTGGCAGAAATTTTGAAATAGGTTACAATTCTAATACCTGTCTGTTCGGCTATATCGTTCAATCACCGATTATCCGATTATTTTATTGGCTAATCCTAATGTTAAAACGGAAAGGTAGAATTATATTGCTATTCTACTACTAGATAGCTTGTTGCCCACGGAATTGTGTTTTTAAGAGGAAATACAGTAATTTAAACTTACCTCTGCTAATTCAGGTATGCGGACACACACTGTATCATCAAGCCTCCAACCAAAGTGGGATTTGAATGGTTCAATAAAACATGTCCGAGGATTAGAAGAGTTCAAACCTCCATTTTGATCTGTATAATGATCGGAATTGGATGAAGTTTTAGCATCAACTGATTCTATTCCAACGGTATTAGATAACCAATCAGGGCGAGGTATTAAACATAAACCTGTCAAACAAGTATTTGTTGAATCGTTGGTTATGGACGGATTGAACACTGAGAACCGCTGTACGCAAGTGAGTAACGAGTCAGGTCTTAGTATTTCAATTAGCCCAAAGCGCGCACCTATCACTAACATTTCACAATTCGGATCCATCGCCATCATAATTATTGCTTTTTGTGAAGCTGAAAAACTAAAGAGTGGGAAAATAGTTAACTTAATTCGGTTAAAGGGCTTACAGACAGCATGTGTAACAATTTCTCAAACTTAGCGGCATTCTAACCACTTGAGTGTGGTGCCATGAACTAATAAACGAAACCAATAGCTGGATACTGTGCACAGATCGACCGATCTCGTTAACAACATTATTGATACCAACAAGGATTTCAAGTTCATAAGATTAATATCGAGGACATAAGTGATTTGCTGTGATGTGACGGAATCATTTAGATATTCCTTGGTTTATTATTATGATAGCTTAAGGATAACAAATCCTATTGACTGAGATCATGAGTCAATCGATGTCAGACCTGAACGGTCCCATACTAGAACGAAATGGTCGTCTAGTGCTTCCAGGTTTTTAATGGTGGTCCGACATCAATCGATTAGTGATCTCAAAAACTTAATCTCCACAACCCCATACTGATAAACTCCTATTGGTTGGTCAACTGACCCCAAGTATATGTACGTTAAATAGCATCAAAAGCTAGTTCAGTAATCTGAAGAAAAGTTTTTGAAATTTCCTAGGTGATTCAAGCATTACACTAGTGGAAGGTCTGAAATAGTTCCCGAATGTTAATAAATGGGTATACGTACTTTGTCAAATTTATAGATAAACGTATGTCAAGAGTTCGATAGATAACATCCAATATGAAGCATGTTTCTTAAAACTAGTACCAACGTCCTTCCATAAACAGGAGAAATGACTCAACTACCACCTACAAAATACCCACGCATGAAAGGGCTCAAGATGTTCCTTTGGCTTCTTGAATGTCTAACACCAATCCAATATCTATTTTAGGAATGTCGAGGTCAGCGGTGAAGTTTGAAAACGTAAATTGCCTACATGATCTTAGCAACAACAAATGTCTTTTATCAACTAATAGTTTTATCTACCATTCTCGAATTCTGAGTCCGCTACTTCTTGTTGTTAATGATGTTATTATTATTCTGAGTCTGTACAACTTAGTTTTCAACTTGTACTAATGACTTCATCTACGAAGTATGATTCATTATTTCTGAAGTAACGCTACCGACTGGGTGTTGAAGCTTTCCATATCCGATCGATATAAAATTTGACTGAAGGAGCCGCTAATTAAATTTTTAGAGCTTTTTCTGTGTAATCTTAGAAAGTATATGAAGTTATCCACTTAAATACAATTGGTTGATTTGGGGAAGCCGTTCAGTGTAATCTATGAGTGATCGGTAATTCAGTAGCTAGGTCTGATGGGCTTGGAAAAGACTGAACTTAGATCATACAAGGATCTTTGTCTGTCTGAGTGGGGGCGAAAACAAACATCGGAAAGTTATTATAGTACTTAGTTGGGAGATGGTAATATTAAGTTCATTCAAGGAAAAATGACCTAAGTAGTTATTTAAGGATGACTACTGTTAGTGTAATTCGATCGGTATAAACTCGAAACAAACTGCTTTGAGGACAGTGACAGAACTTTATGGAACCTTCTTCGACACTATAGTGTGCCCCAGAAGGCTGAAAACATCACACGGAATTCATACGACGGACTACGCTGCAAAGTAGTGCATGAAGGACAGCTGACAGATGTATTCCAAGTGAAGTTTAGTGTCAGATAAGGCTGCTCACTCTTTCTCTTTCTTCTGGTGGTCGACTAGATTATGGAGACCTACACATTTCAAGGGAAGCACGGAATACAGTGAACAACTTGCATGCAACTAGACGATTTGGACTTCGCAGATGACCTAGCTCTTCTATCCCATAAACACCAACAAATGCAGGTAAGACAACCAGTGTAGCAGCAGCCTCTGCAGCTCTAGGCCTCAATATAAAAGGTCAACTAGACTGGAAACGGTGTAAGAGGAGATAAGGATAATGATAAGAGTAATAATAATAATAATAATGTGAACACAATTCGTAACCTAATCACTCTGGATAATAAGTCAATATTACCAGGGTAGGTTTAAGGTAAGAACAAACTGTTTTTGAACACACAAACGTTCAAGTAAATTACAACCGAATATTTCAAATCTCATTCGACTGTCGAAATCATATATAGATAATTGCCAAGATAAACTGATCAATTTAATTGAATTAGACACTCAAGCATTGCCTATATTAAAGGAAATATCTATAGTCTGCCATATTAAATTCACCAACTTTTGCAGTAATGTCGCTTTGAAAATAAAGGAAAGGATCGGTAAAAAGCTCGAAAAATCTTGTATTATTACTAATCAAGGTAATTTATTCCCAGTTAATCCTGAAAAGTATGTCACTAATTTATCTTCCATTATATTATCTGCTAATGAAAAGGAAGCACTTTCTCTTGGTTTTAATTTCTCGGTTCCAATAACGCAAATATCTGAATTGGAAATAAATGGCCAATTTGAAAATCTATACGATCAACTGAGTACTCTAACCTCTACGTCTTTAAATAATCAAAGCTGGTGTAAAGCTAAACCGGTGGATATAACACACCAATTTCATAATGTTGGACCAAAGCAGAGAAGTGTATTAACTTCTCAGCATTTTAGATCATTAAAAGAACTATGAACAAACCCTGATATTGTCTTGTTAAAACCTGATAAAGGATCAGGCGTAGTTATCATGAATAAATGTAAATATAAAAGTAAGATGTTATCCATCCTTAGGGATGAAAGTAAATTTATGCTTGATGTTGAATTTGGAGGTATTGGCAAACTAGAAGGAAGAGTAAATTCAAACCTATAAAAATTGCTACGCATGAATATTATTAATAAAGAGGAATTTAATTTTCTAAAACCTATGGGTTCCGAGTACCCTCATTTATATGGACTACCTAAAATCCACAAACTTAACGTTCCTTTACGTCCAATTCTATCAATGTGCAGATCGCCTATACATAACCTGGCTAAATGGTTAACAAAGTTGTTGGACCCTATTCGAAGACATCTATGTAAGTATTCTCTAAAGGATTCTTTTGAACTGGTCGATCATTTAGGTGATATTAATATCAAGGAAAAGACAATGTGTTCATTTGATGTGAATTCCTTGTTTACAAATGTACTTTTGAAAAAAACCATTGATGTATTGTGTGATTACATATCTGTAAACAATCTTAAATTATGTGTCCCCTTAACAATTCTTAAAGATTTATTGTTACTATGTACTGACAAAGTTCAGTTCACTTTTGAAGGTGAATACTTTCGTCAGATTGATGGAGTTGCTATGGCTAGTCCGCTAGGATCATTATTAGCAGATGTGTTCATGGCACATGTTGAAAATCAGACTGATGACGTAATCGGAAACATGTCACTTTATAAGAGAGATGTGGACGATATCTTAGTTGTTTGTGAGAGAAAAGAGGATATGTATTGTTTATTAAATAAACTCAACACTCTCCAAAACCATATTAGTCTCTCATGTGAAGAGGAGAAGAACGATTAGCATCCCTTCCTAGATATACTTCGGAGTAGACGAGAAGATGGCTGAGTCAAGAGATCTATTTTTAGAAAACCAACGTGGACTGGTCAATATCTTAGTTACTATAGCTATTGCCCTGTGCAATACAAACGTGGTTTGATAAGGTGTCTTTTCAACAGGCTCGATCGTATTTGTACAAACGACACCATTGATGATGATGTTAATTTGTTAAATAAAATGTTAATAGAAAATGACTATCCTCTGAAATTCATAAATAGATGGAAAGTCCATGGCACAGCGATACCTACTGTAGCCTTGGTAGAGAAAAAGGCCCGTCTACATCACCTTACCATTAAGAGGTGATTCAAATAGCCTTTTATTGAAACAAAGACTTAAATCAGTCATCAATAAAACCTATTGCGCAGTAAAGGTCCTTATCAAAGAAAGAACAAGGTGCATGCTTCATTCAAAACATTCAATACATGGAAACGATTGCGTCACATCCCACTGTGTTTATCAATTTAAATGTGTGTGTGGTCACACATACATAGGGACGAGTAATCGTGATCTCAACATTAGGGTGAGTGAACATGTACCCAAATGGCTTCAGAAACAAATACAATCAAGTGACCCAATAAGAGCAGAGGATAAACATTTATCATCCTCTATTGCTAAACATATAATTGAAACAGGTCACAAGATTGATCTAAATTCAGCTTTTGTAGTGTTGTATAAAAGTGTAAAAGGGCGTATACTAAGGCTTATTGAAGCCTTAGCCATACGAAAATTCAAACCCCCTTTGTGTGTCCAAACAGTTTGTCCTTACCTTAAACTTACCCTGGTAATATTGACTTATTATCCAGAGTGATTAGGTTTCGCTTTGTGTTCACATTATTATTATCATTACCCTTATCTCCTCTTACCCCGTTTCCTGTCTAGTTGACCTTTTATTTTTTATATATAAATGTTCTTAACAAGTATATGCGTGACCAGATTGTTCGAAATGAATTGCGCTAATGTATCACATAGTTCTGATAATCTTCGTCCTCTAATTACATTATCGAAATTTATAAAAGGGACTAATTGTTTTAAAAATCTTAATCACCTCAGCTGAAGATTTACTACCTCATTAATTGACTTGCCATGCTTACCTAGTACCGTATGACCAACCTCGTGGTCGCTCACTCGGTGATCCCAAAATACACAAGCGACGCTTTGTAGACACTTATGATCGAATACTTACGAATATCCTCTATCGTTAACAACCATGTTTCACATTTACAAAGTAGAATGGAGAGAACTGTTGTGCAGTAAAGTCATCCTTTGGTGGGAAGACAGATATCTCGTTTACGCCACAAGTGACACAGGTTAGCTGAATCCAATCGAGCGTCCTTAGTCCCCGCCGAGGTTTCGTCGGACAACAGAGCATCAGGACTAATGAACATCCAAAGATAAATTAGAAGGTCGATACAGTAAATTACTTCACTCCCTCCCGATCGAAGCTGCTACCTTGACGCGGTGGTCAAACTTGCCTATCGTGATGACCCAACCGAGCTATATTGGCTGGAACATATGTTCCTGCAGGTTCTGCCATGCCA